ATCTGATCCAGGGATTCACCACTGGGCAGTCCTTTCATGACAACCTTGAACACACGTTCAGTTTTGGTGTCGTAAGTAAAAAATTTGTGCTTCTTCTCAGTAAGATACTTGAGAAGACATTTAAATCCGTCCAAGGTTTCAGCCAATACACGGCATTCACCCCGACGTCCAATTTGTAGTGAAAACTTAACTTTCACGAAATTCAAAAGTTCCATGCGAAGAGCATGGAAATCGGTAGTGGTTATCACAATAGGGGGAATCTTTTCCTTCTTGGCATTAAGCCGGGAAAGTTTACTAGAATTTTTCTTGGATGATGGATCATTCTCATCATCCGTGAGCAAATCAAATTGATTACTCAAATTAATTTCATCAGAAGGGGGGTCAAGAGTTTGCCCCTTTCTTTTGCGTTTAGGCGCCATGGCGGCAGTAAATTTTTATCCAAATCGACTTCCAAGCAGATTACTATAAGAATCTGAAGGATCGAAGAGGAATTTTCCAAATCGATATCCAAGAAGGATTACCTCGGGTAGGGTCTAAACAAGGATCGAAGAGGAATAAGAGTTGAACAAGGTAGAAAATTTTTTACAGGTTGAGCACTGAAAAGTGCTGTTTAAATTTGTTGTAGCTTTAGGTAGTAGTAACACTTCCTTCAGCAAAAAGCAAATAGATCCGCACGGCAAGAGAGCACGATGCGGACTGATATAGAAACTTTAACCGTCATCTCTATTCGAGCTATGTTTTGCGAAAGCAAAATGGTCTAACAGAAAATCCTAAACGTGTCTGGTCTTTCATCAACGAACAACGCAAAGAAACTGGTCTTCTGGCGCAAATGATTCTTGATGCCCAATCATCCAGCACTCCTGAGGATATATGTAATCTCTTTGCCGAGCAGTTCCCAAGTGCCTTCGCCATTGGCAGTGCATGAATACAGGAGGTGCAGGGTTCCCGGAAATTCGTTCCTAGAAATGTATTTGATACAAGCATAACTAGCTCTGTGAAGTTGAAATTGCTGAATGTTCTCAATACGATTCACCCCATCGCTGTAAAATGGAGCCCATACTACGGAGCAGTAAAGGGTGATACGGTCAAAATTTGGTCAAGGGAAAACGCGTGTAAATCGGTGAAATCATTTATTTAAAAAATCAAATTAAATTTCTTTTTCAAGTTCAATTAGTATAAAATTCAGGAAAAATATTCAGTTAGGCTTCCGCTTTTCCAAATCCGAATTGCCGGGCCTTACGCTTGACCCCTGCCATCAGATTTTGTACAGCCACCTTGTCCACCTTCTTCGCCGCAGAAAGCCAGTTTGCCTTGAACTGCTGCTCGCCCTTAGCAGTTTTTTGGTCTTCTTTAGGTTCCGCTTGACAATAGCCCAGTATTTCTCAATTGGGCGGAGCTCTGGCATGTTGGGAGGGTTCTTGTCCTTGGGAACCACCTGCACGTTGTTGGCGGCGTACCACTCCATGGCCTTTTTACCGTAATGGCAAGATGCCAAATCCGGCCAAAACAGTACGGAACAACCGTGTTTCTTCAGGAAAGGCAGCAGACGTTTATTCAAACACTCTTTCACGTAAATTTCTTGGTTGACAGTCCCGGAAGCTATGAAAATGCTGCTGTTCAAGCCACAGGTACAGATGGCTTGCCAAACCAGATATTTCTTTGCGAACTTTGACAGTTTCATGTGCTTGAAAACATCTGCTACCTTTCCCCTTCCTTTTGCCGTATAAAACTCCTGTCCCGGAAGCTGCTTGTAGTCGGCTTTGACGTAGGTTTCGTCGTCCATTACCACGCAGTCAAACTTCGTCAGCATCGTCGTGTACAGCCTCCGGGATCGCGCTTTGGCCGTCGTATTTTGTTTATCATCGCGATTTGGAGTCACTACCTTCTTGTAAGTCGATAGTCCGGCTCGTTTTTTGGCTCGATGCACGGTTGTAGACGATAAACCCAGCTTATTTGCGGCATCTCGGAGAGAGAGGTTAGGGTTTCGCTTGAAACTACCGGCAACTCTCTGTCGTCTCAGCGGCTTCCGGTTTTCGATTTCCCCCCGATCCAGACTTCCTGGCTGTCGACAAACGTTCCCCAAACACTTTAATTACATTTGTAACGGTTGATTTGGCAACTTTTAGCGATTTTGCCAACTTTGCGTGCGAGTAGCTCGGATTTTTGCGATGCGCGAGCAAAATTTTGATACGCTGCTCTTCTTGCTTGGACGGCATTTTGACAACTGAAGAGTGAATTCCAAAATCAAAATAGGAGCAACATTCTACACACACACACCTTCAAAATGAGGGGTGTTCAGGTTTTTTAAATGCAAAATTGAAAGAAATACGTCAAGTTGATATTGACCAAAATAAGTAGGAGAACGGTTACTGCTGCAGCTGGTTCTTGTTAAATTTGCGTTTTTTGACGTACAATTACGTCTTTTGGCAACATATTGGGGGTGCAATTTCAAAAACCAAAATTGACCGCATTACGAAAGTGGTCAGGTGTTGACCACATATAACTCTGCCAATAGCGGATGGATTTTAGTTCTAAACAATCCAATCGAATAGACATTTTGCCACGAATCTGCTAAATTGAACACTTTATTAATTTTCAATAGGTCACTGCTGAAAATTACACAAATGTCCAACTGTTGCAATAGTAATCAAAATTATCACCGATTATCTGCAAACAGCGCATTCCCTAGCACAGATGTCAAAATCGAATTCAATCCTCCTGTCTCACCATCAGTGGTGGTGTCCGGTCGGTCGTCAGCAGCAGTAGCAGCAGTGCTTTCGGCGCACAGCGTTGAACATTATACACAACGAAAGGCTGCCCACAAGCAGCGAGCTGCAGCCCACATGAGCGACCATTCACCGAAGAAGGAGGAAGAAGCCTCACCACTACTGTTCGGGATCCATCTTCGTGAGTCGCTGTGGGCCATCTATGCCAAGCGCGTCACCCTCGTTCCAAACAGCGCCTTTTCGCCGTCTAGCAAGGCCATGGCTGTGGACTTGGATACAGCTTTGTTACTTCGGATGTTATTCATCACCCGTACTAGCTGGTGATTGGTGGAGGGCCCCTTTCTGAACCCGAACTGTTCCGAAAGAGGAATGTGAAACTTGACCAAACGATTGAGAATGAGTTTCTCGAGTAATTTGCTCAGCGCTGAAAGGAGTCTGATTGGTCTGTAGCTTGAAGGCAATGTTGGATCCTTACCGGGTTTGCGGATTGGTATGATTTTTGTTACTTTCCAGATGCTAGGAAAGTAGTGCAGTTCCAAGCATCTGTTGAAGATAGCGGTTAGAATAGACTGCACTTTCATGCTGAGTCTCTTCAAGATCAAGTTGAATATACCGTCAAACCCGTGAGCCTACATGTTATTGGTGCATTTCAGCGCTGAGTAAAGCTGTTGTACTGTAATCGTTTCCACCGGAGGCATGGCACAAGGGGAGGCATCTAGGTTTTGAACGCATTGCACAACCTGATCATCGACCGGACTTTGGATAGTCGAACCAAGCAAATACGATGAAGCGACATGCTTGCCGATCGCATTTGCTCTCTCCTGTGGGGTGATTAAAAACCGATCGTCATCATTTTCGACTCTGAGAGGTGGAACGGATTTGGGATGAGTTTTCAGGACCTTGGCTACCTTCCAGAATCGTCTGGAGCGGTCGTCCAGATTCTGGACAACACGCCCGAAACTTTCATTTCGGAGTGAGTCCATTCTGGAAGCAATCTGCCTGTTTAGATCGGCCATTTCACGTTTTTTGTCCAGGTCTCCAGTCCTCTGAAACTGGCGTCTACGCACATTTCTCAACCGAATCAATAATTGGGTGTGAGAACCAATAGCAACAAACTTACCCCTCACAGGAACTTGTCGAACGCATGTCTCGTCAGCCACGGATATGGCCTGTTGGAGTCCTTCCAATGCCCGGTCGATGTCATTTACGGTGTCGAGCAGTGGATTTTCATCGATGTTGCTGTCCACCATTCGTCCGTACTGCACCCAGTTGACATGGTGGTAGTCTTTACGCAGACAACTTCTAGCAAGACCCACGTTGACACCGACTTCAGTCACCACCGGTTGGTGGTCGGAGCTGAGATCGGGGTGGAGGGATTTCCCGTCGGAGAGATAAAAGTTGGTTCGTCCGGATACTGCACAGTGTAAAGTCCATGTTGTGCGTGGTCGAACAACAGACATCCGTTCCGGTTCCGCTGGTAGTTCCGCCAAGCTTCATAACGGGCATTCAGGTCACCCCCAACGATGAATTGGGAGCTAGTACGGGTGATGGCGGTCAGGTCGTTCTTGAATTGGATTCCTAGTCCGTTGCTTGCAGTACACTGACGTAAGCAGTAAACAGCGATGAACCGGACGTTTCCAGTTGGTGATTCCACCTCCACACTAACGGCCTCGATGATTGAAGTGCGGATGCGATGCGGAGCTGGTGCGATCAAGTCGGATAATGTTGTGGTCAGGCAACCAGAAGCTGTCACCGGACTTTAGATGGGTCTCGGTAAGAAGACCCACGTCGATGCTGTGCTTGCGGAAGAAGTCGGCAAGCTCAATCTGATTAGCTCTTACAGAGCAAGCGTTCCAGGTAGCGATTATAAGCGGTTTAGACACCATACTGGATGATGAACTTACCGAGAACTTGGATCTGTTCGGGCTGATTGCGGCACTTACGTAGAGCACCGGTCATGTTGATGAAAATCTCCATCAGTTCATCCGCTGAGAACAGATCGGGATTATTTGGTTGAGTTGTTGGTTGTCTCCAGAATCCAGGGGGGATGGAGAGCTTTGTCGAGCAGAAGATCCAGACGTTTCTTGAGGGGGGGGGGGGGCGCAGACGCACCCGTGAATTCACTTGTTCATGAAGAAGCGAAAAGTCCTCCGCCCTGAAAGCTGGGGCCTTATCCTTCCTTCGTCCTGGTTGATTGTTAGTGGACGCCTGTTTTCGGATGCGCTTGAAATCCTCGCGTTTAGGGCACTGCTTGTCGGATCCTTTGTGAGCACCTCAACAGTTGGCGCATTTAGACGACACAGCTTCATCCGCAGCACATTTGGAGGTGGCGTGGTTTTGAACACAATTGCCACAGTGTGGCTTAATGTTGCAGTTTCGGGTGCCGTGTCTAAAGTTCAGACACCGTTGGCACTGAGTCAGATCGCGATGGCCGGCACGATATGGCTTCCAGCGGACGATGATGGAATTGATGGAGCGAATGGCTTTCAGTGCGTTGAGTGTCACCGTTCCCTTCTGTAAGTGTACCAGGAGAAGGCAATCCGGATACGCCTTCACATTTTCGTCCTTCCTTGTCATCAGATAGACGGTGCTTGGGGCCAGCTTGTACCGGTCTCTGATTTCATTTTCTTTAAACTTCGGGTCGAAATTTGGTAGGCTCCTGAGGACGACCTTGACCAGTTTTTCACCGAGGATGTCATGGGTGAAGAATTCCACCTTGGAAGTCCTCAGGTGGACGATGACCAAGTCACACTCCGCTTTGGTACGAAGCACCACCTTGGTGCCGACTCTGCCTAATTTGAATTTGGCTTTGACGCCCAGCGACGCCAGATCCGCGATGAGCTCGTTAAGATGGGCATTTTTCACTACCAGCGGAGGTAGCTTCACTCTTGCCGGGCTCATGTCGGCAGCATTTTTTTTTCGGCAGCGTCACCGAAATCTCCGTTCGTCGCAGAGGCATCGTCGCGACCAATCATGCCATCGGACTGATCCCGATTCTTCTTCCTCTCCTAACTGCGTTTTTCCGTCTCAGTTGACTGGATATTCCCATCCATGTGGAGAACAGCAAACCTGTTGGATGTAGGTAACCCGAGCTTCCTTCACCGGCGTTCTTGTCCTTCACCGGCGTTCTTGTCCTTCACCGGCGTTCTTGTCCTTCACCGGGCTTCGCGAGTGATGCTTCTCCTTTTCGGGGCACGCACACACAAAAAACCGCGAAAGAGAGAGAGCGAACACTATCGCCACGAACTTTTCGAACAACTCGAGAGAGCGAGCTAACACCGACCTGAACTGCTTGACGATCAAGCAGAGAATGCCGCACTGAGCATGCCAGATCGTAGCTATGTTTATACCTTTAGATGCAAGTTTTAAGCTCCTACTATTAGGAGAATTATGCCAAAAAAAAAACCTAGCTGAATGAAAGCTTGCACGATTTTCCGGTTCAGATTTCGGTCAGCAGAGTTCGGTTTACGTCCATATTTTTGCTTGTCCTAGAAAGTTGCTTCCTCGACATCATTCCGAATCGCAGAACACAGAAAAATGTGAAGGATAATGCGAGGGGGACGACTCTATCTACGATGCAAAAAAGATTGTGTTTTGCTGTGGCTAGCTGCGCGCACGCTGAGTAGATAGAAAGAAGATTGATGACGATTCTGAAGATTTCCTGCAAAAAATTGATGGGCGATGCAAGTAGATGCGACAAATGAAAGAAGATTGATTCGCTAGTGTGAGATTTGTTGACCATCTAAATTTGAGATTTAGATGTGTCGCCCCCCTCGGGATAATGCACCATTTGTGCTTGTCACGGGAATGAAAAGAACCGACACTTGTCATACACGGAATTGTTGTTCGAAATTTAAACAATGATTCACGTGATAATCAGCCGTTTAAACGTCATCTGAAACATTCCAGGGGTGTTCCAAAATCGTGCTTAGACATTCTGGGACACCCTATAATAGCTTGCTTTAGTCGACATCTCGACTAGATACAAGGTTGCTGTCCACACGGCTTATTGTATAGTGGACAGCTCAGTTCTGAATCCTCACACCAGGCCGAGTGAGTATACGATTTGACTTATAATTACTTGCTCTAACTTGAAAGCTCAACTTGATAGATGGTTACTGTTTTTGATAAAGTTGATCAGATTTATAAGACCTATTGTATGGTGGCCAGTTTCGTTGAAAATTTCTTCACCAGTGTATGAACTGACTTGCTACCTTTGGCCGAGTTGTTCAGATGCGCAAGACTTATTGGATGGTGCACAGTTTGGTTCAAAATTCTGTCACCAGAAAAGTAAAGGTGCCTTTGAAATAAGAATACTTTAAATCGAAATTTTGATAATTTCTTCTTATTGTTCATAGTTTTTACGTCCCAACTGGAACTTTGCTTTTGTCTTCAACTTTCATTTTATTTTCTGTTTTGGTACTGCCGTGGTTACTTGTGAAATGGAGATTACACGAATGTAACGTATTGGCTTGTAACTTATTGATTTGTAAGTATACAATTTGCAACCTTCATCGCATACAATTGCGAAACAAAACCGGACAAAGACTTATCAACATCCATAATGTTTGCAGATTCAAACATAGCCCTATGCCTTGTGTAAACGAGGATATATCCGATCAAACTCTCTAAAATATATTAATATGAATAAATTTATTGAATTACAGCGACACAGATAAAGGACAAACTCAAATGATATTCAGATTTTGCAGCATTAAAATGTTATAATATGGTGTGACGTACTTATATGTATTTTATACCGGTTTGTTGTATGAAATGTATTTTAAATTGCAAATTTTCACTCTGGTTACTGTAAATAAACATTATTCAGTAGTTACATGAACATTGGTTGTACATGTTTTGAACCTTATTTTGAATGGGATAGGAACTGAATTTTGAAATTTCAATTAAGGATATTGAATGTTCTCTTATTTCAAAACATTGAATTGAATATATCAAGAACAACATGTGAAAAGGGCATACAAGCTTTTTGTAAAAAAAAACCTTCTTATGCCCTTTTCTAGCCATCCATATGACACCAAGGCAAACCATCAACATCACAGGGTAGGAGAAACTTTCCCCTTTCCGATGATGTGGTTGGTTTGCGTAGGCGACCCTTGGTTGGCGAGAAAAAAACCTACAAAGGATTGTTTACAAAAAGCTTGTATGCCCTTTTCACATGTGGCTGTTGATATGTTTATTTTAGAACAAAATGTATACATCAATAATTTTTTTTATTATTCATTAAATTAAGTTAAGTTAAGTTTTCTTTATTAGGGAGGCTTTCAGCCTGAGGCTGGTTCACCTCCGTTATTTAAATTATTAGGCAAAACAACAATCTCGTAGTTTTACGTTGCTTGAGACACAACTCTTTTTTTTCATACAGGAGCATACGAAAAACGCTCCGTTTCGTTTGCCCCAATGAGGCCTCAGATTTTCCGTTTGAAATTAAAAATTTGGAAGCCGGCTTGATTTTTATATACCTACTAGCTGAGTGTGCCCGGCCTTGCTCGGGATTCAATATTACCATGCTATATTGTACGTAGCCCCCCCCCCCTATCTTATCTAATGGGCTACCCCCTATGACCTCCACTTGCCAAAATTGGTTCCATTTCCGTGATTAGTTCTAGAGTTATACAAAAATTTCTGTTTAATTTGTATGGTAGCTCCCCCTTACAGGTGGGGAAGTGTCTCGAACCGTCAAACAGAAATTCATTTTTATATAGGGTAGTGGAGGTACTAACCCATTTTATCAATTAAACAATAAATATACGATGTACACACAATTGTTATACGTCAATCTATAGCTATCAAAATAGAGATAGAAAAATATTACACTGTAGTAAAATTGCATACAATTTTAGAAAACTCATCCCCCGTTAATAAGAACACTGTTCCAGTAGTTGTGGTAGTTGCTAACTTTGGTTCCTATAATAGTGGAATGCGTTGGTTTCGTATGGGTTCCACTATTATAGGAACACTACCGCAACTATAGGTGCAAAGGAGTGAAAATATTAAGGAAAATTAATGATTTTCCGTCATTTTTGCGCTTATTTTAAGTTTGAAATATGCAAATATGCTTTATTTAAGGACAGCTACCGATAAAAAATAATCTTATCCGGGTCCTCCTCACTATTCCGGCACAACCTCCATACCGCAACTATAAGTACACCACTATTACTGGAACACCTACCCTACGTATATAGATTTCGTAAACACGCAGCTCACGACACTGGTAATTATTCGCAAAATTTCCCACCCCCTCAGATCGCGTACAAGTCTTTCGAATCTAATTCATACATCGATTCATGAATGTCGATTCACCACCTCTCTTCACCTAAATAACCATTCGATATGAACAGCAGTATAGGCCTTGTCACGCGACATTCCACATTGAGAAAGAGAGACTAATGCAACGTTTAAGAGAGCGTTCTCTTGATGTGCAATGCAAAAGAGCATGGGAAGACGGAACGAATGAAAACATCATTGCCTCTACACTGGGACCGGTCGGTACTCGTTCAACAAGACAAAAGGGGGAGGAATGGTCTGGCGTTCGATGAAATGATTGCACCAACACTAAATTAAGCCAGATTGAACTCATAATTTATTAAAATGTGATTACCGCCATGCAATGTTCACTCCGATTCATAGCAAAGTCAGATTTGCCAGAATGTTGTTTCCGTTCATTGAGGTTTAATACGACGACAATGCGGGGAATCTAAATCGAATATTATCGATTGCCAAGATTGTTATCACAAACCTATGTATCGATGTAATAATGGTTGTACCAACACTTTGGAAAGTCATCCCAATATGTTATTTATAGCCATAAACAAACCATTTTAAATCTCTTTCCGGAGGCAAAACAAACGTAAGATTGAGAGAGAGTAACCAGTACCTATGTAGCATCCTCCGCACTGGGGGAGTTGAAGGTGTATGTCACATCGTTCATGGGTTAGAAAGTAACGTTTTTTTGTGTTATGAAGATTGATGAACTATTATTAATGTTAATGGAATTCCACAATCTCAAACCAATTTTGGGCCATACAATTTTGTTAATTTACGAGTTACTCTCGATTAAAAAAAAAAATTATCCCATGCAACAATAGTGCTGAAACATTCTTGATGCAAGACCGAACTAATTGAATGGCCAATCACCTCCAGTTCGGAATGAAACCTTTGAACGGCTTCCACCCAAGTGGGGTCGACTCGGTCGGTATACCTAAAGCGGTGGGAGGTCAACATGATACATGTTTTGAGAATCGGAGAGAATTTTACTCTCACTCTCTCGACACCGTTTCAAAGATGCGGAGAGCACACACAGTGATGCTGCACAACGAGTGCTGAGAAGATCTGCAGAAATCCGCCACCTGGGCTCACACGCGTGAAGCGACTGTTGTCGAGTTGCATGTCTTGGCTGGAACACCACTTCGCAGAGCGGCAAGATTGCAAGCGAAAGCGAAACCTCTGGCAGTCCGTCTGGTGACTTTCGAGTGAACGGTACCCCCCGAACCTAGTGCGCTCCGGTTTTCGAAAATCCCTCCTGGTCGTTTCGAGGGGACGATTTTGATGTTGTTGTGCCCAGATAGTTGCTTGAGGAGTATTTGTTGGAGATGGTATCAGTGCTAGTTAATCAAGTGAAGGACCTCTCGGTATTCTCGGCGGATGACCTACAAGTGCGGTTTCGTTGATGTTGATCAGATTCTAGTTTCAAAGTGGCATGGGGGTAGGCTTAAGCCAGTGTTGACTTATGTAACGTGACTCCCCCGTGATTGATCACCGATCGCTTCTGAAGGAGAGATATGTTTTGATTTCGGAGAAGTGCCTCTAGAGGCAGTAAATTTCGTACGCTACGGGTTTGAAATCAGTGCAGTAGGGTTTCGACTCTGACTTGTGATTGTTGATTCTACCGTGCCGGACCGTAAACCGAGTGATGAGAGATGAGTGCAAACAACATTTTGAAGAAGGTCCAGGAAGATTCTGAAACGAGAAACGAGTTTCACGTCATGATGTGTGAAGTGAACTGCTTTTGCCTTAAGGAGAAAGAAGGCTGCTAGGTGGTTTGGTTGGTTGGTTGCTTGCTTGCTTGGTCCAGGGCACAGTGGATAAGCCCACACTCGCTGGCAACGCGCCACCGCAGGGGGAAGAAGATTTAGAGCTGCAGCAGCAGCAGCCTCCGCATATCGGATGCGTCGTATATGCTAATGAGTATCGACAAGTCAATAAATTATGAACGCACCACTGAAGACGGATGTTGGTTGCCGTGGAGAAGAGTTCTGAGCGCCTCCCGAGTGCGGTGCATCTTGGTTCGACACGGTTAGAAGTGGATTTGAAAATTGAAAGTTGTGAAACGAGAATTGCAACTGCAGTTGAATGGTGTGTTATTGTGGTATAACTAAAGAGGGAAGGAAAATTGTAGTGAATCTGTAATAAACTTGCACCAAAAAGCGCCAAGTGGTACAATAGTGACAAATTGCATTCCCCAATGTAGAAGATAAAGAGCCTTAGCGGATTTAGTGAATTTCCTACGCTCGATGAAAAAGGCATTGCTGGAGGTGTTGGATTTTGGAAAAGGAGCTGCTGCCATTGTGGAAGATCATCGCTAACGATCGATTGTGTGTTAATTACCTGATTAGGTAAGTAATTGTAAAATGTGTAGGGTTGGTGTGCGAGATGCGTAGGAAGAAGATGACGAAGAAGAGGTATTCAAGTTTTGTGCAAGCAGCTTGTTCAATGTAGTGTGGGAGGATTTTTGTTGTCGAATCATGACTTCGATGAAAACAAAAGGTGGTAGTGTGTAAAAAGCGAAGCAAAGTTGACCATGGTTTGAATTATCAATTTTGATTGTAGGCATTATAATGGAAAAAATAAACGGCACTAAGGTGTCTACCCGTAAAACAAATATCTCTTACATCCAATGTACGGTTGGATTTACTACATCCTCTGCATATGTTTCATACAGCATATGTAATGGCAGTTCTTGCAATGGACTGCAGCGTTCAATCAAGTTTTCCAGAATGCATAATTTTGCCTAAAACTTTCATGATATGATATTTTAAACGCAATACATTTTGGGAAACAAGCATTGATCGAAAAATAAGGTAACATAAAAATTACAAAATTATTTTCAAAACCTACCGGCAACCACATATGAGATACTGTTCATGTCGCGAAGCATTTCAAATTCTGCATAATCTTCATGCGAATCATTAATAGAATCTTACATTTCTGTTTGGGTGTACGGTCACAGCTTACTGCAACTCAAGAAAGTATGAAAATAAGTTCAAGTTGAGTACATATTTATTCAAATCATCTAAAAAAATACCACCAGCCATTACATGAAGTAGTGGAGTAGTTCAAAATATCAATTTTGCTACATCAATCGATTATTAATCGAGTCCTAACTATTATCTTGCAAATTTATAACACGTGTCACAACTGCAATAAATAGCCAAAAACCGATAAAAGCGCAATTCGGGTTACACTCAGGGAAATGTGCAGATTGGAAATTATAAACCAAAATTGGTGCTCACATTGAGTGCCCAGGACCACATTAGCCACATCCGAACATGTTCTCCAGCGGAAGTGATCATTTCCGACTAGGTGATGATTATTATATGAAATTTCCACTGCGGCCGGAACAAATGAACAGCTTTACTTTTGATAGAATTTGGCGATCAATTAAAACTTTCAACAGCTGAACTGTTCGGTAAAAGTCAGGCATTTTAATCCATTAGGAAAACTTCGCCACAATGACAAGACCCGATTATTCGAACAAAACTGACAGCGTTAAAATTAAGAGAAACAGATTTTGAGATGAGCTGTTGAAAGTTCGGTAAAAATTTAACCGAAGTCTGTGATAATTTCCAAGTGTGTAGTATTTTTTTCCTTGATTTGTTCTCCGTCGATCTTGTTTTCCATGCTGAGCACCAATGCTACCGACGCCAGGGAGGCAGTTCCCACACCTGGACCCTACCTATCGACCCATCAAACTCATGAACCGGGGACCAACGGCTTTACTTCCATGATCAGAGATGTTATGCCTCAGTACATTCCCGGCGGTGCCGACTGGGATTTCACACAGGCCTGCTGGGGTGAGAGGCAATCACGCTTACCACTACACCACCGGCACCGCTGAGTGTGTAGTAATAAGGAGTTAATCCAAAACGTAAAAGAGTATTGCAACCCTTTTGCATTGTTTTTAGTAGGGGATCCACTTGAATGCCTTTCATCCGTGGTATTCATATGCAAAAAATCAAAAACGAATCAATTCTTAAAATTTTCAAATATGTTGGTAGGTAACTTTAGGAACTTTCAAATTTGGTTAACTCCAAGACAAAAACAAATATAAGTAAGCTCTAAATGCAGGAAATTATTTTATAATCAACATTTCAAATGTTTTCTACATCTCAGAGTTTTGAAATATTCTGGGACTATTTTTAGATTTTATAAAAAAAATTATATGGGAAAATGGCTCTAATGTTGGCCTAAGATTGGGCTCATCGCTAAAAATATGCTATTTATCAATTTTATCTAGATGAACGCGTCATTGGGACGGTACTTATGGATATTTTTGGTCGCTATTGAAAATTTAGTCAAATGCTCAATTTATGGATGGGCCCAAATTAGGGGCATTTAGGCCGACATTACATCCATTTCATCTACTAAGGTTTTGTTAGATACTGCATCTTGGACATTTCAATATTCTGTAGAAAATTTAGATTGTTATATGAATTCCAGGCGAATTTTAAGGAGAGTTTAGTGGTCTTCTTAAGATAATTTATACGGAATTCTTGAGCCAATTCTAAAGATAAATAAACGGAAAAATATACAGAAATGTACGAAATACAAAAATTACAACGATGGAAGAATTTCGTGCTGTGGTGATAAAAAGTTTTTGGAAGGAGAGCACCCACGCGCTATTTTCAAGAGTTTGAAGAACCTGGGAGTAAAGCGTGAAGTTGTGTATCAAACCATTAGAAGGTACCGTGAGACTTCCTCGTTGGATAACCGGAAAAGATCCAGCCGAAGACGTTCAGCTAGGACTGAACGAGTGATTAAGACCGTCAGGGAACTAGTTCGACGAAAATCACAACGTACTGTACGTAAAATGGCCGCTAATCTTAATGTCTCTAAATCGACCATGCACAATGTGCTCAAACAGGGGATGCCAAGCTTTCAAGAAACGTTAAGTTCACGGAGTTTCGGAATCTTTGAAGAAGAAAAGGCTTGAAAGAGCAACTCTCATTCTATCGCGGCACGCTGCACGACCCAACAAACAAACGACTTCTGGACTATTCTATTCAACTGTAATAATACTTGCATTATTTTTAGTAATAAGTTCTGTTCAGGCTATGTTCACACAAATCTGGAGAATTTATTCAACCATTTATGTATTATTGGTGTTGTTTAAGGTATGTCGAAAAGCTGTTATTCGACTTTTATGAGTTGTAGCAGAGCTTATTCGATAAATTTTTGATTATTCAGCGTTTATTAGACATCCCTGCTTCCTCTTAATTAAAACAGTGATGCTTGATTCTCATGTGACATAACGTTTAATTAGACATTATTATACATTTATTAAACGATTATTCAACTGTGGAAAATTAACCCGAAAATAAGTGTGACGAGGGGGGGGGGAGGTCACATGGATGGGTGTTAGTTATTCTTTGGTAGTGATTTTTTGACGAAGAACTACGTCTTTGTCGACTATATTGGGGTGCAAATAAAAAAATATGTATGGTGTATAGTGTTTTGTGGTTTTGAACACTTGTAATTTTGTCATTTATAGATGAAATCAAAATCCAAAGATTTGGTGTAGTGGTAAACGTGATTATCTCTCACCCCAGCAGACCTGGGTTTAATCCCAGTTGGCGCCGCCGGGATGTTCTGAGGCATAACATATCTGATCACGCCTTCCTTCGGATGGGAAGTAAAGCCGTTGGTCCCCGGTTCATGAGTTGATGGGTCGATAGGTAGGGTCCAGGTGTGGGAGCTGTCTTCCTGGCACGTCGGTAGCATTGGTGCTCAGCACGGAAAACAAGATCGACGGAAAAAAACAAACCAAAGAAAAAAAATCCATAGACGCCATTCAATAGGATATTACTTTACGAATCTGTCAAAATAAATACTTTTACAATTTCTCATAAAAAAAACCTTTGAAAAATGTACAAATGATCACTGTTTTCATGAAATAAACCCCAGTCGTCATAATCGAGTACAACTTGGTTGCACATCGTTTTGCTTGAACCTGACAAGATATAAAACAGCGCTGCTATCGTGCCTTTGCTTATTATCGCTTTGGACGGCGTGGCACTGGGTCCTGCAGCAAGCAGGAGCAAGTCAGCGGTTAATATGGTTTTGCTAGCGCTAGTGTACTAGCACTTTGCAAAAAAGTAGCCAGTATAATGTTATGTGCTAGTTGCTAATACACTGGCGCTAACAAATCCACACAGATGTAAACATCCCTAGGGACTGTTCATTAACTATAAACGGCCCATACATTTTTTTTTGTATGGTCGTCCAAGCAGGGGAAGAAAGGGGGGTATCAAGAATCCCAAAAACTGTCTACATAGTTAATGAACAGCTCCCCAGAGATGGATCACGGCGTGATCACCTTGACAACCAGCGACAGGTTTAACGCGGAAATTATTTAAACAATACACCTCTCCGCCCTAATGACAACCTGAAAAAAAGACGTGACATTTGAGAGAAAAATCGCTCATAATCCAACCAGAAGTCGTATAACAATGTACAGACAGTATCGTAAATTGCTACAGTTTAGGTCAAAATCTCATATAAAAATGGCATACCTCGCATTATGTTTAAGTTAAATCGTATTGGTAACTCGAGGTAGGTAATTCAAATTAAATTGTAGCAACCTTTGGAGTTATGAATTTTGGTTGGACCTATCCAAAAATGAATCATTTTGGACCAATTTTTATCGGCGCTAATTTAGTCCAAGAAAGTCTAAGAAACTCAACTAAGCTCATAACTTTAGAGACAAATATTTGTTTTAATGATTAACATAATTTTGGTTTTATTGTGTTTTAAAAAATAGCTCACTTTAAACAAATTTTTTGAACAACATGGTTCACTTTAGAACGTCCACAAGAGGAAAGTTTACTTATATTTTCCAAGTTTGTGTGCAGTATAATACTACTAAAAGATGTAAACTTCATGCTAGCAGATAATTATTGCATTCATTTTATTGAAAAGTTTGAATCTTTGGCGAAATTCCTAATTTATAATTGTATCACCTGTATGACCTGGACCTAGTTGTTTCCTGCAGTCAGGTGTGCTTCGGTTTGTTCACGATTTCCTTCGCGCGCAGCAACATGGTTTTCTGTTTACTTTCCTAGTCACAACTTTCTTAAACAGAGCATAGAGGAAGTAGATGAATACTCATGTGATTTGAATCATCGCATAATGGATTTTGGTCCAAGTCTAAAACTGGCTACTTTCCTAGGGATTTCCGGAAATTTACTGGATCCTGGCTATTCCTAATAACTGCCATTGAACTGGTTTTTGAACTTTAATGTGATTCAATGGTTTTTGACCATATTCAGATACTGGGCACTTTTCCGAGGGGATCAAAACATTGCCAGGTGTGGCCAATGTGGCACTGGACCCCCAA